TAAAATCGAATTAAAGCACATTTACTTACCTAGACTAATCACTGATTTCTATATTGGATAATATCCTCTTAGGTACTACCTCTTAAAGATAGGATTAAAGGAAGGTTGCACTTGCAGATTCTGTAAAATGTATAGGGAAACATACGCTCAATTATTAAAGACCGGATTCAGTTCGTTCACCAGATTTTCATAGAACTAAATCAGTTGTATAGTTTTAGTTAATGAAACATACGCCGAATATATCTGCTAGCGATCTGCGATTATCTAAAAACGAATCCATCTAGCTTATCCTTTTGATTTTCATTGATGTAAATCAAATGTATCGCCTTAGTTAGCTTAGATGTTTTTAGAATTTCCACTATAGATTTCATAGGTTGCGGTGTACTATTGTTCTCTTTTTATAATGATAGAAAACGATCTATAAAAGCTGTAAAATAGAAATATGTAATATATAGAATTTTTAAAAACTAGAGTAATTTTCTAGTTTTCTAATTTTTATTTATTTTTTGAGCGCAGTCCAGTAATTACTTTTTGTAATAATGTTGCAACTATTATTACATGCAATATGCAATATGCAATAGCAGCTAACAGTCAGTGTCTATAATCACATATCACATGACAATACACGTATTGTATTTATTACTATCGAGTAACGATCGAACATAATTGAAAAACTTAAGTGACGGTGTGGTGGCGTAGTGTTCTGATTACGACAACAATCTTAATAAAAGACAAAAAGTCGTAAACTTGTTTAAAAACTAAAAAGACAGATACGCGAAGCAACCAGTTGTAGCAACTCCAGCTTCAACCCACCAACGACCAAGTAATTCAAGACATCGTCGTCGTCGCCATTCAACACAACGCAGTCACGCCTCTGCTGGTAACCGCAATCGGTTGTGTTTGCGAACCGAACGTTTTAAAAAAAGGTCAGCGGGTGAATAAACTCGAAAATTTGTGCAACAGAGGAAAAAAAAACAAAAAAAAAACACTAATTCCAACTGCAAATATACGAATCCAAAGATTATAACGACAGTGTCGGCGACCACGACAATACCTACAACAACAACAGAAAAGAGAAAAACGTCAATGATGACGTTACAAAAAAAAAATATATAGAAAAAAATCACTGCAACTGCATCTGCATCTCTGGTACAAATGCATTGAGCCGATATTTTTATTATGAAAAAATAAAAAAAGAAAAAAAAATGAAAAAAAAAACGACGAAAATTTGTGCCAACTCATAGAGCAAATGAATAAAATTTGTACAGACATTGGCTGTGCGATCACAGTTTATGTTGCGTGAACCATTTCAGGCGATTTAATGCAAAATGATAGCCTTTCCAATTAATATTTATCGCACTTTAATGATCCAATTTTAACTGTGCAATAATATATTGCAATCTTAGTCCATGGCTACTGGTTTCGCTGAATAATTTGAATATATTATTTTGCTTTAAATAATAG